CCGTATGCATTTGTTTCTTGCAAAAATTATAAATCTGCACACTAGTTTTTTAAAAAATGCTTTCCCTCCAATTTACCATTTAAAATATGAAGCTGTAGCCTCTGTTCAGCACTGTGATCATCTGTGATGCAGAACTTACTATACTGAAGCCATATCTCACTTGCATGAAAATTGATGCTAGAATTGCATTCCTTAAAATGACCTTCCCCGGTCTTAGTGTATGATTTGATGCTAATGTCTGTGTAAAGACTTAAAAAAGACAATCCAGCTGCAGAAAAATTGTGCTATGGCATATTTAGCAGCATTGCACCAAATCAAAGCAGCCTAGGGGTTTACCAGTGTGTATATTCCCAGGAAGAAAAAATTCACTCTGAATCCTGAGATTAACACACAGAATTACACATGTACTTAATGTGGTATGTCGTTTTTCCAGAGCTAGAAATGGTTAGCAAGTCTAGTTTTCCTCTCCCCCTTTAGTATTATGAGATGTAGTGACTGAATTCTTTGCCAAAAGAACAAGAAAATACTAATATGCATTCCTTATGGTGCATTTTTCTGTCTTCAGTACATACTAATCCACAGAGAAGATGCTTTTGAACTGAAATACAATCCATCCAAGCATATTTTTATCTAATAGCGTTTTTATCAAGAAGGGAACAAGATTACTGTAACAACAATAACCTCTTCCAAATGGCTATATTAAAATAGTGTCATGCAAATTTTCAACTCCTCAGATTTTAAGAGCAATCATATAACAAAATAGGGCAGCAGAAAAATTAATTGTTCTACATATTTGAAAATGAGATCATTAGATACTATGTTACCAGATAGAACAGTAGTCATTAGAGCTATAAAAGTGCCTATTTATGGCTTTCTCCTCCCAGTTTAAATAAACAATATAAGCTTCATACAGGCAGTCCTCGGGTTACGTACAAGATAGGGACTGTAGGTTTGTTCTTAAGTTGAATCTGTATGTAAGTCGGAACTGGCATCCAGATTCAGTTGCTGCTGAAACTGATCAGTTTCAACAGCGGCTGAATCTGGATGCCAGTTCTGACTTACATACTGATTCAACTTAAGAACCCCAGGCATCCCCAAGTCAGCTGCTGCTGAAACTGATCAGCGGCTGATTCCAGGAAGCCTGGGGCAGGGACTTCCTGTAGTCAGCCACTGGTCAGTTTCAGCAGCAGCTGACTTGGGGATGCCTGGGGTTCTTAAGTTGAATCAGTATGTAAGTCAGAACTGGCATCCAGATTCAGCCTCGGTTGAAACTGATCAGTTTCAGCCGCAGCTGGCGCCAGTTCCGACTTACATACAGATTCAACTTAAGAACAAACCTCACCCCCCCAGCTGCTCTACCCCAGGGTCCACAACAAAAGCCTGATCTGCTGGGGGTGGGGGGCACACTAGCTGTGCCCCCCGCAGCAGACCAGGGACACGGGGAGCAAAGCCGCAGCCGCAGCGGGGTGCCAAGCCTGAGGCTTTGCTCTGGCAAAGCCTCAGAGGCACGGGACCCCTCTGCCTCCCGGCTTTGCTCCAGGTGTCCCTGGTCTGCTGGAGACGGTCCCCAGCAGACCAGGGGCACCTGGAGCAGCTTTTCTCGCCCCGGAGGTCAAGGTGGCAGGACCGCTGCTCTCTGGGCGGTCCCGCTGCCTGCGAGCTCCGGGGTGAGAGACCCCCATTGGTAAGTGCAGATCCGAAATGTCGGATCCACGTAACTCGGGGACTGCCTGTAATTGTCATCCTACTCTGCTCCAGGAGTGTAAAAGTCTTTCATCTCTTATTAGAAAGTAAATAATCTATTCAAATTCCTCTTTGTTGTAATTTAGAAAAAACAAAATATTTGATTTCTAGAGTGTTGTATTGATCATTTTAGATAATGAATTCCTGGTAATCTAGAGGGGGGGAACATATACATTATGAAAATATCTTGTTGTTTTGTTAATGTCAAAATATGACTTCGGGATATAGACTTTTTTTAATCCAAAAGCTTTATAAGAGCATTACTTTCCAAAGGGGGCGCTCGCTCTCTCTCTCTCTCTCTCTCTCATTTTATATATATATATATATATATATTGTGTGTGTGTGTGTGTGTGTGTGTGTGTGTGTGTGTGTGTGTGTGTGTGTGTGTGTGTGTGTGTGTGTGTGTGTGTGTGTATATATAATGTATATTAGTAATTATACAATCTTTCATGTCTATATCTTCAAATCCTTTTTACAAAATCCATAAAATCACTTGTCTGAAATGTACCTGCTTTTCCCAAGTTTATTTTCATCATCCCTCTTCTATAATTTTTGGTAATGTTTTATGTCTATTTCTTTTAGGGAAAAGAGATCAAACAGTGTTGTCTAACAATGTAATAAGATCATGTAAGGGATTTTGATCTCATTTAATATTTTTTTTCTTTTAAAGAGGCAAACAAAAGACCACCTTCCCGCCTCCCAAAAAAAGCCTAAGATCACGTCTTCAGTTATTTAAAATCTTCCCAGTATGCTACATAAATAATATTTGCAAACTTTCTTGCTTATCATTACATTTTATAATGCTTAACAATTCTAGCTTTGTCTAGAGAAAGAACCGGGGGATGTGGGTAGTAGGGTTGCCAACTCTCCCAGATGGGACACCATTGCTGCAAATAGCATCTGGTCCATCTGGCTGGGAGAGTTGGCAAGCCTAAGGTATGTCCACACAGGGCTAAAGTCGAATTAAGCTTCGCAATGTCAGCTATGTCAATTACATAGCTGAAGTCTGAATAAGGTTACTCCAGCTTTTGGCACTGTCTACACAGTGGGAAGGCGAAGGAAGAACACTCTTCCTTCAACTTCCCTTACTCCTCATGAAATGAGGGTTACAGGAGTCGGAGTAAGAAGTCCTCCAGCGTGACATTATTTTGAAATAAAGGCTGATAGTGAAAACACGTGCTATTTTGTCAGTTATTCAGAAATAGTGCTGCTGTGTAGATGTACCCATAGGGAGTGGATACATCTGTATAGTGTTTACTTCAATAGTAATTTTTTATCTGGCTGTCTCTCTTAACATCCAGATACACAGGTTTTTATGGGAAAGTGTTGTGATATCTGTAGCTTGTCAGCAATGTTCCCTCTAATTTTTTCCATCCATGTGCTGTGGCAGACCAAAGGCAGCAGGCTGCAGTAATTTGGTGGAGGACAGGTATACGGATAGTTGGGTGAGCAGGTTCTTGTTCCCTGGATAGGCTGCCAGAGACTATGGCCAAGCAATTAAGAAAGCCACCTGGGACTCATTCAGAGCTGGCCTGTGGCAGCAGACGAATAGAACACTTGCAGTCAGTTTCCCCTCAGGTAAGCAGGGAGGAAGGAGAGGAGTGATAGACCGGAAAAGAGGAAGTACAAGATGGAGAAAAACTGAAGTCTACAACTGGGAGAAGTTCTCATCTAATGGGCCTGTGGGAGTGGTTGGGGAAGTGGCCCAGAGAGAGGCAACTACCGTATTTTCCGGCGTATAGGGCGACTGGGTGTATAAGACGACCCCCTATCTTTTTAATTAAAAGATAGGGTTTCATCTTATACCCCAGCGCCCCTCCGCCTCCTTTGCTCCCGGTGTCCCTGGTCTGCTGGAGATGGTCCCCAGCAGACCAGAGGCACCGGGAGCATGGAAATAAAAACCATTAGTTTAAAAAAAAAAAAAGCAGTACAGGCAGTCCCTGGGTTACGTACAAGATAGGGACTGTAGGTTTGTTCTTAAGTTGAATTTGTATGTAAGTCGGAACTGGTACATATTGTAGGGGAAACTCTAGCCAAACATTTCTCCAGAGCTCAGTTTTATTCTCCCACACCTCACTTCCCTCAGTCCTTTATTCTCAAGCTGAGGTGTCTGCTGAGAAAATCCGCTCCGAGTCTCCCTGGTCTGCTGGGAGGGGCGCTAGCTTCGTGTCTCCCTGGTCTGCTGGGGGGAAGCAGCTAGTGTGGGGTTGCCTCACCCCGTTTGTAAGTAGGGATCCGATGTAAGTCGGATCTGTGTAACCTGGGGACTGCCTGTATAGGTGCTTCAAACTGTCACAAAAGCACTAAGAGCTTTGGGTGTTGTGGCAGACCAAAGGCAGCAGGCTGCAGTAGTTTGATGGAGGGCAGGTATAGGGGCAGCTAGGTGAGCAGGTTCTTGTTCCCTGAATAGGCTGCCAGAGACTGCTGCCCACCAATTAAGACAGGCGGGCACTTAGGACTCATCAAGAGCCAGCCTGCAGCAGCAGGTTAATGGGTCACCTGCAGCCAGGTAGGGCCTGCTGATCCATTATAAAAGGTTTCCCTTCAGAAAGGAGGAGGGAGGAGGAGGTGGCGGTGGCAAGGTCAAGGGCAAGGGCAAGCAGGAAAGGTTTTCTTGCCCTTGGATGCCAGAAAGAAGGTACTGTGGGAGTGGTTGGAGAGGTGACCCAGAGAGAGGCTGCTATTCCATGGGAATGAGGGCAAGAGCCCCACTAGTGGCTGCTACCTAGGGCCCTGGGCCAGAACTCTGAGTAAGTGGGTGGGACTGGACTCCCCCCAACCCTCCCCATGCATAGTGAGCCACCACCGGGGGGAAAAAGGGACCTTTGGACTTTGGCAGGGTTTTCCCTTTCAAAGTAGTGACTTGCCTATGATGAAAATGACTCATGAAGCAGGGATCCCTCACCTCTGAGAGAAGCAAGAGGTAGTGGGAGGGTTGCCGCAAGCCTCTGCGGTATACTAAACATCCGCCAGGAAGCGCAGGATCCAGGGGGACCAGAGCTCTGCCATAAATTTTATGTGCACTAAGGCATGTGCATGCACCAAGAGAAATGCATGTTGCCAGTTGTGAGAGGCTGTGACTACTCTGCTAATCAGCTGGGTGGCATTTGAATCTCTAGCAGGTGACCACCCAAGCACTCATTTTACAGGGAATACTGCTTGTCAGTGATATTTTTTAAAAGGTGACTGTATTAAACACTTGCCCATCTACATCTGAAACGTTCTAAAATGGTTTAATATGAAGACATTCAAAATACCTGCCAAGCAAAATCTTGCAAGAGGATGGCTTTTCCAGTGGAATGGTAGGTTAGTAGAGCATTTCTTATTCTACAGTAGGTGAAGTTTTTCTCTTAGATATTTTTGCCTTTCTAGTTTAAATACTGAATGGACAGTACAATCTTTTTTTTTTTTTTTTATAAATAGCTCCTTTTTTATATGACTTGACCTTCTCAAACTTCACTTACTCTTTTTGCTCTTCTATCCTTCCTGGTTCTTTGATTGTTACGGTACTCTAAACATCTGAGTAACAGGCAGACAGCTGTCCTATGACCTGCTGAAAGTCTGAGTTCTAGAATCTTTTCTCTCTAGTGTTCTGTGCTTATTTTATGACATCTTCTCGTGGCACACAGCTGAACTGTCCCATGAGTAAGGAGGAAGCCTGGTGGTTATTCTGTACCTACCATTAACAGAGAGAAAAACTACTGTGCCTCAGAAATCCTTTTTCTAGTGTAGAATTACTAGAAGACTTACCTGGTGTTCCCAGGTCCTTCAGGGCTGGGAGTGTGGGGGTACAAGAGTCAGGGTTGGGGAGTGAGAAGGAGCTCAGGGCTGGGGGTTGGCAGGTGTGGGGGTTGCCCAGGGAGGTGCAGCTCACTTGCCGGCTGCTCCCCATTCATGAATATAACTGTCCCTACTATCACACTTTCCATTTGATGAGAAACAATCACATTCCATGTACATCCTATTATCCTGGCACAACCAAACCCTGACCTTGCTTTAAGTTATGAGCGGAAGCTGCATACCACATTTGGTGGTCCTAGCTCTTACTGTTTAGGAGTAGTTCTTGAACAAAGAGATGCACAAACTTTTTCAAATATATAGTAGGTATCTATTTTCCATGGGGAGGGGAAATGACATACCCCATTACTGAGTCAGAATTAGCTGATTTCTTGGGAGAGTGGGAACACAATGTATTGTGATGCATAGCACTACCTTGGGGATACATTTTCAAATCCTTGTGATTTCATGATGTGCATGCAAAGAGTATTTTTGGGAACATAGAAAACCAGAGATCCACTAGTGAAGATTGGAGCACAGGTGACATATCCACACAGTTAGTTTTCAACAAGTTGTCTTTGTAGAATCTAAATTGTTAGACATAAAAATGTGACAAACACCAGGTGAGATTAATGTGGGTGATCAAGTATAAAACATTTTCAGGACTTGGCCAGTTAGGCATTTAAATATAGTCATGGGATTGGCATCTGGAATATACTTATTATCAGAGTGTCTAGAACTGTGGTGTCCAACACAATAGCCACTAGCCATGTGTGGCTATTTGGCTGACTGAGTGTGGCTAGTTTGCTATAGCAGTAGCTACTGCTTCAGAATTGGTTGGACACCATGGGTCTATAGGAAATGGATTGCTATAATGGGAGGTGGTGACTGATTATTACCTGGGCTGTCTCCAGAAATACCTTGCACGTGAATACCTTGCACATGTGCTCTCTCTCTCTTACACACACACACACACACACACACACACACACACACACACACACACACACACACACACAGTTTCTTTGGTTTCCTTAACTACTGTACTTAACATATGACTGCAAATCTTCTTAAACTTCACTGAGAAAATGTCGGAAACCTTTGATTCCAGAAGTTTTCATAGTCCTCTCAACCGCAGAGTTTGACTCTTTTTTTGCTGCTAGACTTCCAGATGGCAATGGCTATCAGAACCACCTTTATTAATCTGTTGTAGGCCACAAGATGTCTCTTCTGCTGGATACAGAACTGACCACAAAGGGCCATACATTTGGGATCTCCAGGCTCAACCATTGTGATGCATTGTACTTATGAGAGATCAAAGCAGCCTTAAAGGAGCGTCAACTAATATTACCTGCACAAAATTCTTTGCCACTTTCACACTCTAGGGATGCACAACTTTACCTAATTCCTGGCGTTCAAGGTGCAACTCTGTTAATTTAAATACCCCTTACTCAGTTCCTAGGGCTCAGGGTGTAACCTACAGGAGCTGAAAGAGATGTACATAGTCATATCCTTTCTCGGTATTTATTAGCAATTATGAACCAAAGCAGAATCCACATGCTAACCAGATAGTGATGTGCTCACTAGTTCTGATAAAGGCAGGTGAACTTCCCCTGTTGGCCAGGCAAGGTCAGTTTCCTCTGAATTCTGGTTGCGACGTCATAGTCGCGCAAAGGAGTCTTGACATCTTTGTTCTTAGGCTGTGTCTTGGAGGTGAATTCTTCTTCCAGGTCTTTCCATCTTCTTCATACCTATGATTTACTAATAGCAGTTATACAGCAAACAAAGCTAGAGCCATGTTAAATCTACAAAAAGGTTATAATGGTGACCCCTTAAAGCTTACGTAGTATGCACAATATTTGAGTTAATTGGAGAGTTTTGTTTCTGCTTTGAGTATAAAGTAATACTGCAAATTGCATTATTGTATCAAATGTTGAATTTTTAATAGTTGGCAGGTATATAAACTGAGACGGGAAGAACACATGGAAATAGATAAGGATAGTAGTGCTGGCTTCCCAGGTATTACCTCAAAAAAGATATTTTGGCCTTGGAAAGGGTTCAGAAAATGGCAACGATTAGGGGTTTGGAACGGGTCCCATATGAGGAGAGGTTAAAGCGACTGGGACTTTTCAGCTTAGAAAAGAGGAGACTGAGGGGGGATATGATAGAGGTCTATAAAAGCATGAGTGGTGTGGAGAGGGTGCATAAAGAAAACTTCTTCATTAGTTCCCATAATAGAAGGACTAGAGGACACCACATGAAATTAATGGGTAGCAGGTTTAAAACTAATAAAAGAAAGTTCTTCTTCACACAGCGTGTAGTCAACCTGCACCAAATGAAATTAATGGGTAGCAGGTTTAAAACTAATAAAAGAAAGTTCTTCTTCACACAGCGTGTAGTCAACCTGTGGAACTCCTTGCCAGAGGAGGCTGTGAAGGCTAGGACTATAATAGAGTTTAAAGAGAAGCTAGATAATTTCATGGAGGTTAGGTCCATAAAAGGCTATTAGCCGGGGGATAAAATGGTGTCCTTGACCTCTGTTTGTCAGAGGCTGGAGAGGGATGGCAGGCGACAAATCGCTTGATCATTGTCTTCGGTCCATCCTCTCTGGGGCACCTGGTGCTGGCCTCTGTCTGTAGACAGGATACTGGGCTAGATGGACCTTTGGTCTGACCGTTCTTATGTTCTTTCTGTGGGGCTACATTTTGATACCTTAACTCAGTGGTCTCCAATCTTTTTACACACAAGATCACTTTTTAAATGTCAGAACAAGCCAAGATCTACCACCCCATCCTTTCCCCAAAACCCGACCCCTTCCTTGAAGCCCCACCCTCTCTATTCTCCTCCTCTCCATCACTTGTTATCCCCAGCCCCTGTACACTCTACACTGCCCCCCCCCTTTTTTTTTATTCTTCGGTAGGAAGAGGTTTTTCCAACATTTGGCCTGTCTATATTGGACCAAATGTCAGAAAAAACCCTTCTTTCAGAAGCCCCATTATTCCTCGTGGAACAAGGAATACAGGGGTTACTAAAAGAGCATGTTTGCTTTTCCACTAAAAAAATGGAAGCAGAAGAGTTTTTTGGGGATATCTCTGAAATCCTGGAAAAACTCCTGCAGTCTAGCTTTACCCTCACTGGGTTGAGACAGGATGTGTGGGCTCTGTGAGAGATTTGAGTGTGGGGAGGGGTGACTGGTGCAAGCTCTGGGAGGAAATTTGGGATGTGCCTGGAATAGGATTGCTTCTCATAAAACCATACGGAAAAGAGCCAGAATGACCTGCCAGTGGGGCAGGGGACAGGATGCTGGGGTTAGGGCAGGGTGCCAGTGGGGGCAGGGAGCCAGTGGGGGACAGGGTGCTGGGAGGGGCAGGGGACAGGGTGTTACAGGAGAAAGATGTCAGGGGGCAGAGAGCCTCCTCCCAGGACTCCTCCCTGGCAATCAAAATAGGCCCAGGAAATGGGTTGAGAATGGCCCACTTTTTCACATCAAAAATTTTTTTTTAAATTTACTCTTCGACGCTGAGTCATTCATAATGTCCTCATTATTTATTTTGGGCAGTAGGTCCTTCTCGCATGACATTAATATGAAGGATTCAAGATGTGAGCGTGTAAGACAATTTTGCAATTTGTTCAGAATATACTTCAGCTTTGAAGTAAACCTCTCACATGATACCTGGGTTGCAGACAAGATTAATACAAATTTATAGACGTGCCTGTATGCCAGCGTGTGCAAATTAAACTTGGCCAAAACATGGTAACAACATGCCATGCAGTTTTTGCAGGATTTACATTTTTCGAGAGCAGTTTTGTTGCAATTGTCACTACAGGCAATCCCCGGGTTATGTACGAGATAGGGACTGTAGGTTTGGCATCCAGATTCAGTTTCAACAGCAGCTGAATCTGGACGCCAGTTCTGACTTACATACAGATTCAACTTAAGAACCCCAGGCATCCCCAAGTCAGCTGCTGCTGAAACTGATCAGCGGCTGATTCCAGGAAGCCCAGGGCAGGGGCTTCCTGTAGTC